ATAAATGAGCAACACTATATAACGCTCCACTCCCCTGCATACAACACTATAAGGAGGTGGGGTGTGTGGGGACATGACGACACAAAATTGTAAAAGAACAGACTTCCATCATTTGAGGATGGTGGCAATAATATTTAAAGTTATATTTATCCTCAAAATAAACTTGAAAGAAATAATGTCAAAATAAGCAGAGTCTCAAAACAGCTGGAAAAAAAACGTAAGTTGGACTAAGGGCTTACAGCCATTGCTGCTATTTAATCATTGAGAAACACCTCTCCCCAAACAAGTGTAATATTTTCAATATTGAATCAGTAGTTGTTATATTTTTATACAAGTTACCATTTATAGGAAGGGTATACAAGGCCCGATAACAAGGTAGCCACAATTTTTTTACTACATTCAAAGTCTGATACAAATATAGTTTACTGTATTATTAATTGACTGTTACAGCTCCTCATCTAAAACACTCATTTTATTAAATAATCTGAATGAGATAAAAAGAATTTATATTTATACACATTTGGTTCTAATTATTGTTCAGAATAAGAATAGTTGCAGGCATTGGGTTTGTCTAGTCTAGTGAAAAGAAGGATTAGGGGTGAAAGAGCAGTGTTTCAATATTTCAGGGGCTGTCACAAAGAAGAGGGGGTCAACCTATCTTCCAAAGCACCATAAGGCAAGACAAGGAGCAACTGAGAACAATTAACCAGTGGAACAGCTTGCCTCCAGAAGTTGTGGACGCTCCATCACTGGAGGCTTTTAAGAAGAGGCTGGATAGCCACATGTCCAGTATGGTATAAGATCTCCTGCTAGAGCAGGAGGCAGACTAGAAGACCTCCAAGGTCCCTTCCAACTCTGTTATTCTGTTCTCCAAAAACTTATTTGAATCCTGGACAAAATTCAGTTATTTAGAGAGTAAGATAAATTGAATTGCCAAGAAACAGCTGTTTACTTTTAATAGCATGATGGACTAGCTCTATCCATTATAGTTGCATAAATAGATACACTGTAACAATAAATTAGTTTTTTTCCTCAATTATTGCAATAATTTGGGGGGAGGGGAATGTACTTTCCATCATGTGCATGGCAGGTTTATTCTGAAATAGTAACTTTATACTTATTCCTTGAATAATCCTAGAGTATCAAGATGAGTTGGCAAGCTTTCAATTACCAACCCAGTTTAGACATTCTTCAGGTGGTGTCAACTAGAAGAAATTCATTCTAAGACATAGGTTATTGAATGCTCTTGGTCTTCAACAACTGCCTGGCTGAGCTCAATCCATTTCCAGCTGTATTCTGTTTAATAAAGGCTTCCCAGAGGAGACCATCGTGGATACATAATTCACAACTATCAAGCTAAATGAAAGCCATCAACAGAAGCATCCTGGAAACTTGATAAGCCTCCTGGTTTTGCTGACAAATCAGGGCTATATAAGTAAGTGGATTATCAAACACCAGGCAGACAACATTCCATCAGTGGTACATCCAGACAGATTAATCCTTAGTTACACAGACTAGTTATAGAATCCACATGCAAACATTCTTTAGGCTCCAATCAAGATGTCTTCTTCAAATCATGTATTGCAAGTTGTTCACTGATAATCAACATATTGATTAAGCCAAAAAACAGACATATAACATCACTAAACTTAACTAAAAATCAAAATTATCTGGAATCACATGCATTTACTACCCAAATAATCCACCCACAGCTTCAAAACAAAAGATTAGCTGAACTTTCTTGAAAGGCAGAATAACCCTGATAATAGGGGTCATATGGAAATATTTATGGATAATTATAATTGTTTTACCAAAAGAAGCCCTACACTAGTCAATAGATTTTATCTCTAAAAACAACATGAATCAATAGTTTTCCTGAGCCAACTAACTGTGAAATCATATACCTGTTAGTTTAGCATCAAAGAACAAATAAGCTAGACACATGGAGAATTCTTGCTTAGGGGAATCAGCATGGAATCTGCAAAACTAAATTATTGCCTCACCAATTTCTAAAAATTTTTGAGAATGAATATGATTTTGCACAGATGCAGACAAACCTGTCAACATAGTGCACTTGGAATTTCAGAGACTTTGCAGAAGTTCCTCATCAAAGGCTGTTAAATAAACTTGGCACTCTGGATGTAAGATGATTTGTTATTTTATGAATTTCTAATTGGATAAAACAAAGCCAAGGGGCAGGAAAAAATAGGCATTTTTTTTCAAATGAGGGAATTAAGAAAGGGAATTTATCAAGAATCTATGCTGAGGCAAATGCTTTTTAGTAGCAGATAATTTTGACTGATGAAAAAGGGGTTAGTTTATATATATTAAATTATTCAGGATTATTCAAGTTAATTATTAGTAACCAAAATAATCATCAGAAGCTCCAGAAGGATTTCTCTAGACTCAGAAAATGATCAATCAAACAGTAAACGTGATTCAATTTATCTGTGTAGAATGGTACACATAGGGGCAAAAGCCAAATTCATGTTTCTTGTTCTAAAAAACAGGAAAAAGATCTTGATGTAATGTTGGATATCTCAATGAAGATGCTGATCAATTTGCAGCAGCGGTAAGAAGGCAAATTCCATATGGAAGAGTTCATCAGGAAAGGAATTGAAAACAAAACTATCAACAATATAGTGCAAATATACAGAATGGTGGAATAGCTTAAAAAAACATAACAAAGTGGAAAAAATGCAGAAGAGGGTAATGAAAATCATCAAGGAACAAAAGCATCTTCCTTACAAGAAAATCGAGATCGTATAGAACTTCAGTTTAGAGAGAAGATAACTGAGGGAAGACGTGATTAGTTTATTAGATTTGTGGGCCATTCATCTTCTCTAGAGACATGGTTGAATTGCATAAAATCATACATGATATGGATGGACAGAAAATTTTTCTTCCTCTTTTAAAACATTTAGAAGCAAGGATTAGCCAATGAAACTGAAAGGAAGATATTTTGAACAGAAAAATTACTCTCCACAGTGCATAATTAACCTGTGTTTATAACCATTCATCAGATGACTTTAAAAATAGTTTGGATAAATTCAAGGAGGACAGGCCTACTGAGAGCTATTAGCCTTGAAGATTTAATGGGACCACTGGGCTGGGGCACCATGGATCTAAATATTACTTTGCAGAAGAGAGATATGTCTGCTATTGTCTAGTACCTCAGAGGCTAGTAAGCTTCTGTGAGAAAATGCTGGATGAATATTATCTTTAGCATATTACAGTAGAGTTATTATTTTGTTATTAAATTGTTACTAAAAATATCAACCATACAAAACAACCTGGAATAATTCTTACGGAACTGTAAATGTAAAAATATTGTACTGCTTTATTATACCTTTAACTTCAATTGCTATTATTCCTATGGAAATGAAATGATTAGTACAATAATTGTGGATAGATATTCATTAAAAAAAAACTATTTAAACTTAATCTCTTTCCAACCACACTCTGCATATAATTTAAAAGCTACGTTGGCTTTCTCCAGAGACACTTCATAGCACAATACAAAAATAACTGATGCATCTTTGAACGATGAAATTCATACTAAGTAGTTATGCAAAAAGTAAATTGAACCTAAAAATAATTCAGCAAATCACACTTGCATGTATTTATAAAACTATTCCCCTTTATTCCTGCCCCAGTATGTCATTTTAGAGCTAGGTAGTTAGTACTTAGTTAGTAAAAATATTCAGATGAATAAAATATTAATCAACCTTTGCTTTAAAAGGAGCAATACAGATTCTTTTCGGGTACTAAGAATAATCTGCTGCATCTTTTGCCAACAAAAAACCAAATGCCAAGAGACTTGTCCCATTTGTGCAAAGGTCCTGTCAAGAGGGCACGTGAGTATGCTTGTTTGTGAAAAAAATTCACGCAATCCACTAGTTACTTTTAATGTCTCTCTCTGAGTTAGGAAGGTAGCAATTCAACCTTTTTAAAAAATTCTGTAAATTGTTGAAAGACAGCCCCTCCCCTGCCTGTTTATCTGAGACAGCTATACCCGGCACAGACAGGTATCTCTTCTCTCCTTGCATTTCCTGCCCTCCTGGGGTAATGCATTAGGGTCAAAAGAAGTCATTATGGCACTTGTGGGGAAAAGGGGTGAAGAACTGATAGGATAATGTTATTGACAGCCTTCCTGCAGTTACATCTATCCTTAGCAGACAATTGCTACTAAGAATCACGGCAGAGGGAAGAAAAAGACTTAAAGAGAAGAGAAATCCAGAGCATTCTACGGTGTAGCAAAATAAACAATTCAGCAATATTTTACTTGGCCTGGCGATTTCGATGGGAAGTCCCCGCATTAAAACTTTTTTTTTTGAGGGTTTCACGACTGTTATTCTCGCAAGCAGGTTTTTTTCCCCCAAGGTTACCAAGGGGCTATGGAAGCTGCGTCTGTAGCAACAGTTCAGCGGGGGCAGCACTTAAACCGCAGCCTTTCCCACAACTTGATGCCCTCCTGTGAAAACTGGACGACCAGCTTCCACACATCCCTGTCATCCTGCAGGCAGCTTTAATGGAAACTGCAGTGCAATAAAAACGGGAAGGTCGGGAAAAGCTGGTATTCGCAGGAGACGGTTTTTCCCGGCGACGGAGGTTCCGTAAATCAGGAGGGAAGCTTTTTTTTTTTTTTTTAAAACCTCCGGCCAAGTGGGCAGTTTATATGATATCGAACCCTCCCTCAACCCCCCCCTCCCGCCTAAGCATCTCCGGCTGCCTTTAACGTCTTGCTTTTGGCCCCATCGCCTCGCAGAGCCGTCCGGGGCTTCGGACAAACATCCTTCCCCGGGTTATAAACTCGACTCGTTACGCGCTGCAGGCAGCCGCGGTTAAAAGCAGAGCCGGGCTTCCACTCCCCGGGACTCTCCACGCAGAGAGAGAGAGAGAGAAAGCGGCGCGTTGAGATGCCAAGCCCGGCCTTGCCTTGCCTCGCCTCCTCTCGCCGCCCCCCCCCCCCGCCCGCCTCACAGTACGGCAGCCCTCACCTCCTCCGGGATGGCAGAGTCGCCTCCGGCGCTGCCGCTACCCCCGGCGTAGGAGGGCCCGGGCGGAGGCGGCTCGGGTTCCATGTCCCCGTTGAAAAGCGATGCCCCCTCAGCGCTGCCGCTGCTGCTCAGCGCCGCCATCTTGGATCGAAGCGCTGAGGGAGAGGAGGAGGAGGAGGAGGGGGCCAAGAGGGGGGACGGGGACGGGGAGGAGGAGGAGGAGGAGGAGGAGAGAGAAGGGGAGGCCCGGCCGTGTCGCTCCTCTCGACCCGGCCGCCCCCAGATGCGACCCGTAGCGGAAGGAAAGTGTCGGGGTCGGGGAGGGTGGAACGAGTGGAGGGGGGGGGGCAGAAGGACCGGGCAAAAGAAGCTCAACTGAGACACCCAAATCCTCCAGACAGGGAGGTTGCAGCAGCAGCAGCAGCAGCAGCGCCAACGTCACACCATGAGCGTGACGTCACCCAGAATCGCCGCGGCGCGCGTGCGCATGCCCAGCGGAACGTCACCGGGAAAGACCCTGACATCACGACGCGCCCCCCTCTTCTCTACGTCATCAAGGGAAACCTTTAGATGCGAGGAATGGCTTCGCCACGCCCCTACGCCCCCCCCTCTTCTATCAGGGCACGTTTGTTGGGATAGGTGGCTTCCCCCTCCCCCCCACTTCTTCCTTGAGCTCCGATCGGCTGAATAACGCCGTTTAAAAGCAAGCTGTGGTAGAACTACCAGATCTGGATTGTAGATTGTGGACTTTGGGCGACCCCCGGATGGCAGCAAGAGTTTTGAGTACCTCTTTGCTGCCATCTAGCGATCGTCCGAATCTTTGCAGCCTCGATCTAATAGCACCAGGTATTGCTTAAGTGAGGAAACGCTGCCTTAACTAATGTTTAACAAGTTAAAGCGAAGAAAACGAGCATTCTCCCCAACGTAAAATTGAAATAAGTGTTGTTCTGAAACATGGCAATCAAATCTCCCACGCTCTGAAATGTGAATAAGATTAGTGAAAAATCTTGAGTTTTCTTATATATTGCCTCAACAGCCTCCTAGCTAGTCTCCATGATTTGAAGAACTGATTTTCAGCTATGTGGAAGTAAAACATTTTAGATTGACTTCTGACATTTGTGTCCTATTCTTATGAAGACTACAGTAATAGTTTATGTTTAAAACAACATTGCAGTAAAATGTGAGAAAATAATTTAGTCACCTGGTTCATAACTGTCTTATTTCTCTACTTGATTACTCTACACATCACTATAAACTATTCCCTAGGTCAGGGGTGTCAAACTCATGTCGCCATGGCAGTGTCACGTGATGTACTGGGACTTTCCCCTCCTTCACTAAACTGGGAGCATCGGCGTTGGGAGCAGGTGACACATCCGGCCCGTGACAGCCCTGCCCTAGATGAATTGTTTATTTGAAAAATACTATGTTTGAGATCATACTTTACATTGCTAAGAAAGTACGGTATGCACGCATGCATGCATGTACTGTATGTATTATTAGCACTTTGCAGGGCCTACAGGCTACTCAAGATATATATTAAGTAAAACAATACAATAAAAACTATGCATAAGAATATTCAAATATTATTTGGAGATTATACAGAACCTGGATAATCAAATTAATGAATTCTGTTGAGTTAAAAAAAACAACACCCAACCCCTTCCTCAGAAACAAACTCTCAGTATTTCCCAAAGATCTGGTTGAATAACCATTGACAGCATTTGGCCTTGTGTGGTACTCCACAAGGAGTTGCCTAAAGTTCAGTCTCTTCATCATCATAACCACTACCTTGATCAGCAACCTCCCCCCATCCCCATCCCCCCCTTTCAAGACAGCACTCTTTATTCTGTACCTTTAAATGTTTTAATAAAACAATATGTTAAAACATACATTGCAACCTAATGATGCAAACTTGAGTCTTTCGTACTCATATCTGGACAAAACTATCCCAATCAGAGCTTTGCATTGTGATGATATGACATGTATGGTGTTACTTTCCCTCTCTTGCTGATGCATAGAAATGGATGGACATTTGTAAGCAAATGAGGATGTAGGTTTAATTATAAATGTGTGCAAAAGTAGATGCTATGGCTGGGGAATTGTTACCAATCTTTAGGTTGTGCACCAGTTGTATCTCTACCTATAGCAAGAGACCCTAGTGCAGTAACTCATACATTATTGCTCTTGTACTCATATGAACCACTTCAGTGTGCTAAATATGAGGCTGCCTTTGAAGACTTAAAGCTGCCATTTGTACAAAATATAACATGAATATTGACAGGTGAAAGCCATTACATGCTACATAACACTTGTGCTAAAAGCTGGTCTTAATGCCCTATATTGTATGCCTTAAGATATTTAAGGGCTGTATTTTCCAGTGAAAATACCATCCTTAATCCAGATGGCAAAGCTTAGGATACTTTATTCTGTCAAGTGAGATGCATGGAGGGTCAGGAATCTCCCCGAGCCCTTTCATAGGCATTTGGGATCTAATAACTTGTATTGTTGTATAGTTGCTTTTGTATTATATTGTGTAATATTTTATTATCCTGCTTAGCTGTTTCATTGTTTTGATTTTGAGTAAACTGCAACATGTTAGTTGAAAATAAGCACAAGATAAATAAACAAGTAACTTTTGGCTCTATTCAGATACATATTTCTATGAAAAAGCAGGCTAACCAACCAGCATTGGAAGGATAGCCTGAAAGATACACATTTATAGAAATACCCTTGTATATATGGATTTTCTGTACCAGACTTATTTTTTTGCATTGATATATCTAATTAATGTGCTGTCTTAGAACTATGCTTTTTACTATTTAAAGGAATATTTAGGAATCTTTTAGGAAGAACTCTATGGTTTAGTTCATGCATTTTCGTACCATATTGTGATTTGTTTGGTTGTGAATGAACGAAACCAATTGTAGCTTAGATAGACTATGTCAAAGGCTGGGTGAACACACTGCATAGTGTTTTGCATGAATATAAATCAGAAAGGGGAAATTTATGACTTTCCAGATAATAGCAGACTGCAACTCCCATAATCTTTTATTTTTGGACATGATGAAGAGTTCAGCAGAGCTTCTATTCCCCAATGCATATCACAGAATTCCATGATTAAAAAAACCCTCCATGGTTTTTTTTTCTAGTCAACACTTTTACCTTCCCTCCTGACCAGAGAAAAAGTGGGCTGGAAAAAATGTTTGAAAAATGCTGAATATCAGATTTGTCCTCTTTTAGCATTGTAAGAAATTTGGGAGTTCTCTGACTCATAAGAGTTGGCATATTCTTTTATGACTCTTTCTTGGTTTTTATGTATGTTAAAAGAACCCTCGGGAAAAACATAGCAATAAAATATGTATATGTGATGTCAAATTATATTCCAACAATACGGAAGTTAATATTTTATGATGAACTGTGGCTCTATCAACCCTGGGGTTAGGAAAACAAAATTATCCTGCATTGGTAGAATGAAATCTGCACTCCAGACGTTAAACAAAGAGCTCAATAAATTCACATCAAGTTTTGAAATGTCTTTAGATAGTAATGTCTTTAGAAAATGAAGTAATACCTTCAATGTGGTCTAGAATTAATACTATTAAAGAGCTGAACTAGTTGAAAATTACACAGATCTTGTTTTGAAGTTTCAATTTATTTTAATCATAAACGATGTATCACTTTTTCTAACTGTATCACAACTGTTGCACTATTTTTAAAACTTTATTGCATTTGATTAACAAATGTTTTTTTAGGACATCTACCCATGATGCAAATACTAGCTTTATATGGATAAAGCCGGCTTTATATGGGTAAAGCCAACTGTAGCCAACTGTATGGGAGGGTAAGTTGGCTCCCATTGATAACTTACCCTCCGAACTGACCAGAGAAAAAAATACGTTGGAAAGATTGAAATGATTTGACTCATCTTTGTAGTTTTGGTATTTATGTTGATAAAACAGATTAATTACAGTGACATCATAGGGCAAAGATTCCAGTCCTGAAATGGGAAGAGTCCTCTATTGGATGGGAAAAAATCCCCTTCAAACTAAAGTACTAAATAAAGTCACCACCTGTTGCAAAATATTTTATTAAATATATTTGTGGCTTAATAGTGCTTCTACTTCTTCAGAGCTCTTTTTCCTTCTCCTTTCTTGGGGGGTCCTTTTCCACGCAGCCTCCTCAACCGTTTCATCTCATCTTTAAAATCTTCATGTTCATCCCTAAATCAAAAGGGCAAATGCAAGGAATGAGTCAAAGTACATGTTTGCTTTATTTAGTCTCAAATTAGAACGATGTCCGGTTTTAACCAATGGGCAAGCTGAGATGAAGCCACATACACTATTTAACATTCTTAAACTTTAAAATACCAAAAAAGCTAATACAATCCTTGGTTGTATAAAGAGAGAGAATCAAAATCACATGAAGTAATAGTACTGCTTCCAGGTGTGTGTAAGATCACACCTTGAATCAGAGGTGGGCTTCACATAATTTAACAACCGGTTCGCCTAGTGCAGGACCGAAAATGTGAGTGCGCAGGGCTTGCGTGCGGCTTCAAACACACGGCGATTTCATGCGCGCGGCTTCCAGCACACCTTCTCGGGCAGTCACGGTGAGTAGAGCAGGTGAAGCACAGAAATCAGCTGGGCTGCGTGGGCGGGGTGAATGAGCCAGAGAGTGAGATATATAGGACGGGATAGCACCGGGGCAGGTGGGCGGGCCCAGCCAGTGGTCGGAGCTACCGGTACGGGCGAACCGGTCTGAACCGGCAGCAGCCCACCTCTGCCTGGAATACTGCATCCAGTTTTGGTCCCCACTTTACAAAAAAGATGTTGAGACTTTGGAAAAAGTGCAGAGAAGAGCTACTAAGATGATTAAAGGCCTAGAGACTAAAACATACGAAGAAAGTTTGCAGGATTCGCGTATGGCTAGTTTAGAAAAAAGGACTGGGGTGACATGACAGCAGTATTCCACTATTTGAGAGGCTGCCACAAAGAAGAGCGGGTCAACTTATTTTCCAAAGCACCAGAGGGCAGGACAAGAAACAATGGATTGAAACTAATCAAGGAAAGAAGCTACCTGGAATTAAGGAGAAACTTCCTAATAGTGAGGACTATTAACCAGTGGAACAGCTTCAGAAGCTGTGGGTGCTTGATCACTGGAGGTTTTTAAGAAGAGCCTGAACAGCCACTTGTCTGAAAATGGTATAGGGTCTCCTGCTCGAGTAGGGGGTTGGACTAGAAGACCTCCAAAATCCCTTCCCGCTCTATTCTGAATTTGAGAATTCTTCCATGGGATATCTATGCTAATTTACATGTGTTTCTCTCACTGCGTCTGTCTGTGATATTCATAAATGACAAGTCTCATATATGGTGAGCCTTGTCATAATAAGCCCTGTAGGGCACATGGGGATTTTTAGATTTAACGTTCTTTGAATCACTGTAATTTGTAAGACATCTTGGCTTAACATGATATGTAAACCTAGCCTGTAGATAAGATTTCCTCTCAGGTAGTCCTCAAATTACAACAATTCAGTTAGTGACCATTTGAAATTACAATGGCACTGAAAAAAATGACTCTGGTCCTTACCAATGACCCAGGAAACCATAATACTTCATGGCCTCCTTTTTGTATCTACAGAGGAGCTTTTGAAAAGGAAAACCATCCCCGAACTATTAGTAGTCAGACATAATTAACAATATTTTCTTTTTTAAATGGAACATCAATTAGTAACTAGTAAGGGATTCAAAGCCCAGGAAAATGATATGAACAAAAAACAGAAGACCACTCTCACTTTTAGTGACTATTTTCTAAATTATTCATACCCTCATTTAGGAAGTGTATGCCAAGAGTTGACTTAAGTGGGCAGATGTAATGAAAAAAAAATCTTAGAGTACGAATCTTTTCATTAAAACATAATTATTCTTACCAGTAAAAAAGTACTGATTGTACCCTATAATTTTCAGTCACAAGATTCTGAAAAAGCTTCCTTTTCTTCTTGAAAAAGATTTATAAGATGCTATAGCATGTGTTCCCTTCAATATTAATTGCTGAATTTCTGTGCCCTAATTTTAAATCAAATGTTGATTTTTACCACCCAATCCAAAGCCCTTCAGCTGCAGATGTGTCAGATTATAACACATGCATGCACATACTCAAACTTTTTGCACTGTTCTGTACATGCACATATATTTCTCTGCAGAACTGACTTTAGCACATCACATTTATCTGACTTTAACTCAGGAATAGAAGGGGCAAAATAACTTTAAGGTGTGCATAATCATGCCAATGGAATACACACAAAATTGACAACATGGATCCATGGTCTATATCAGTGGCCCTCGATGTTTTGGGCACCATGGACTGGTTCCATGGAGAGAAGTTTTTCTGCAGACCGGAGGGGGCATGGTTTTGTGTGCTGCCTACATCCGGTGGATGGGGATTCGGTTGTTTGAGCCACCCGGTTTCTGGCACTTGGAGCCAGTGCCGGTCCAAGGACCAGGGGTTGGGACCTGGCCTATATGGATACAGGGCCCAAATTAAGCACATGAGAAAAATAGATTGAATTTGGAAACAAATCAAAAGAATCACAAACAAAATATTTCTTTGGCATCAACTTGCTTAACATTAAAGCCCAGGTTACAAAAAGCTGAGGGTGGGGCTATATAAAATACATGCTATGTGAGGTAATAATTTTGGTCAACAATTCTTCTAATACCCAGGTTTCCCTGAAAATAAGACCCGGTCTTATTTTCTTTTGGCCTCTGAAATAAGCACTATTTTCAGGGGAAATCTTATTTGTTTTGGGTGCCTCTGCCATGAGGCAGGGTAGTGGTGGATCTGCCCCACATGCCTTGCACTGGCTTACCTCAGGGACCCCACAGCCAGGCCATCCATGTCCCGACACCTGCCTCGCCTTGTGGCCACAGCACTGGTGCGTTGCTCAGCCTCCTGCTCCATTGCGAGGCAGTTGTCGGGGCATGGATGGCCTGGTTGCGGGAGCCCTGAGGTAAACCGGTGTGCGCATGGGGCAGCTGCACAGACCCCTCACCTCACCTTGTGTGGATGGCACCACAAGCAACCAGACGGAATTGGCAGCCGGTTGGCTGCAGAGGGGCTTAAGTAGGGCTTATTTTGGGGGTAGAGCTTATATTGAGTGCACGTGCAAAAAACATGATAAGGTCTTATTTTTGGGATAGGTCTTATTTTCAGGGACATATGGTAGTATAGGAACCATCTGCTGCACTTAACACTGTTATCTATAGTAGTTGATTTGGGACTGGGTAATGTTTTTTGCTATTACTGCATGTCAACAATAGGAATTGGTAAGCTATGGTAGGAGCCCTCAAAATGGGGAGGGGGCGGTCATGAGCAAATAATGCTGGCAATAGCACTTTGACTTATATACCACTTCATAGTGCTTTCCAGCCCTCTCTAAGTAGTCTACAGAGGCAGCATATTGCCAACAATTTGGGTCCTCATTTTACCCACCTCGGAAGGATGAAAGCTATCTTTTTAGTTGTGCTCAACTGCGTGTTTTTAAAATGCTTACAATACAATTAGATCTGTTAGAGACCATATACATAATTCTAGAGGATTTAAAATAAGATCAACGAGAAGTCCTTTCACATGTTTTGTTTAACTGCAGGGAGCATTCTGCTTAAACTAACAAAATGAACAAAACCTTTTAATAAAGCCAAGTCTGATTAAAGAGCCATGCACTGAATTAGGATTTAATTCTGATTCATATTTCCCAATTGCATTATTTGTCCATTAGTAAGATAATATCATTTCCTCAAGGCCATAGAGCTGTTAATATTGTTAACTGTTCACAAAGTACCACACAGACCTTGATTCTGTTCCACCTCCATAAAATGCTTATTGCCTGCAGCCAAACACATTTCTGAGTGAGAGCCCTTGCAGGCTTTTCTGAACAAGAGATCAGTTAATAAAGAAGCTTGCAAAATGCAAGCATATAATTTATAATTTTTCTGTGCCAAAGGGAAGCCCCTTTGCTTTGCCATTGTCTCCCCAACAATGAAGAGCACATCTAGATTGTCATTATACAGGTTTTAAAAATAGCAGCATTCAAGCGTGTTTTAAATGTAAAAAAATATCTTAAGGTACTGTTGTATGCTTTTAGCTTAACATGAAGCCAATTTCTTGCCATATGAATAAAACATAGTGACCCTTGGATTCATACACTTCCCACTTTTGTGCATACTGGAAGAAGGAAATTAGAAGCATCTTCTGGTTTTCAACAAATTATAAAATAACTTGAAGGTTTACTTTTGAAACTTTAGTTAGGAAACAAACCAGGATCAGAAATTCTAGAAAGGAGTGAGCATGCAAGCCTGAACAAACCATTTTTTATAAATACAAAAAAGACTTTGGGCTTTTTTCAATGTTCATGCACAAGCGATAGTTTGCTTAACTTAGGCTGAATAAATTGCTGGGTTTATTTATCATTCTAAGGTAAGGATCTGAAAACCTTGCAAGATGTCATGAGATCCACAGATTTATGAGATTTTGGCTGGCAAGAGTGCATAAAGTCTTACTTTTATTTCGTAGGATGTGAGCATTAACATTTACATGTATATCAAAATCTACAAGATTGCAGGTATAATATTGTTATCAAAGTGTCATCCCTTTGTACACGTGGGTAACTAACATCAACCCATGTACAAAAGGGTAGGGTCTAAGGTTTGGAACAGCTGAATAATCACACATGCAAATCCACTGCTTATAATCCACAGTGCTCCAGTTCACACAACATACTATTTATTTCATCAAGCTGGCCTGACCTAAGTCTTTCCCCTTTTTAAATGGAAATTTTAAATTTGGTTTTAAATTATTGGAGTTTTAAATTTGTTCAGCCAAATTATTTAATTCATTTTAGTTTATTTTAAATTTTGTATCTATATGTTTTATTCTATGGCTGTTCACCGCCCTGAGTCCTTCGGGAGTAGGGCGGTATACAAATTCAATAAAATAAATAAAATAAAAATAAAATAAATATTAAACCAAAGCCAAACAAACCACACAACTATTACAAAACTTGCCATTGGAAAGGCAAAATAATTCCTGAAATGAAGAGCAACCACAACACATGGAACATCTTAGCTGAAGAAGAAAATTAAGAAGGAAGACATGATAGAGGTCCTGTATATAAAATTTTGCCTGATATGGATACAGCTAGAATATTGTGAAGTTAAACAAACAGAGACCCAGGACAGAGAAAATAATCTTCTCCTTTCAGTCAGTGTTTCTATTTATTTATTTATTAAATTTTTATGTAGCCCATATTCTTTCAAGTTTAACCAAGTTAAAATTTTTATGGAGATTCTAAACTATCCATGGTTGTCCCAAAGCTGCTTTTTCAAAAGGCAACTGGACTTTATTGTGAACTACCTGGACTTTCAGGAAGGCCTGAAAGGGGAAAAAACCCAAAAAAATTCCAGTTGGCTTTTGAAAAAGCACCTCTGGGACAAAGTTAAAACATTATTAAGCACTAACTAAAACCAAGCTAAGAGAGCTAAGAGCCAGACGGGATGGGGATGAAGTCTTCTTACCCCGGCAGTCACCTCCAGAGGTGAACACCCTCTTCAGAGGCCCAGGCCAACAGGCAAAGCCAGGTTTTGATCCTCTTTCAGGACAAAAGGAGGGGGCAGCTCTCATCTCTGGTGGAAGAATCTTCCACAGGTATGGGGACACAGTAGAAAAGGACCTTCTCCTTGATCCTGCTTGCTTCAATACCTTAGCAGACAGGATTGGTAGCAGGCATCATCTACTGGCATAAGTGGGGCAGGCTTGTCCCATCAGGGAGAGACAGCTCCTCAAATACCCTGGACCCATGCAAGCTAGCGCTTTAAAAATAATGACCAACACTTTGAACTGGATCCGGAATCAAACTGGCAACCAATGCAACTTGCTGCAGTAATGGTGTTATATGTGCAGCCCTATGTTGTGGCCCGCTGGCGGCCAGTGGAGCTGGCAGCAGAGTCAGACAGTGAGGAGGTTGGGGAGGAACTTGGGCCAGTCCTGGGAGCTGAGGAAAGCTCAGACGAGGGTTCTGTGTCGGAGGCAGAGAGGGAGCTAGACAGCAGTGAGGCAGAGGAACAGCTGGAGCCCGTTCCCAGTGTGTGCATGTGCAGAACTGCCAGAAGACAAGAATAACTCAGAAAGTTGACTTGGGAGTAACACCTTGGAGGTAATTGGCCCCTCCATAGGAAACAAAAGACAAACAAAAGAGGAGCGAATGGGGAGTGGGCTTTTGCAGGAAACAATTCATTCGTTTGGTCATTTCAAGAGTGGAAAGTTTTGTTTGTGACTCTAAGAGACTCTGTGCCAAGTTTTGCCTTGTACTGCGTTTGGAAACAAGTTACGTGGCAGCTTGCCAAGCAAGATAAGGTGTGTTGATAAATATTCCTTTGAAAAACTGTTTGGACAAGCCTTGCTGACTGTGAAAGTGATTCACAGTCATGTAAATAAAAGAGATTTTGCCGGGACCAAGACTCTGCTTCCTGTTTTTTAAGGGAGCCTAGGTCAGAACACCCTAGGAACTCCCAGGGCTGTGCACACTGCTGCATTCTGCACCAGCTGAAGCTTCCAAATACTCTTCAAGGATAACCCCATGTAGAGCGTGTTGCAGTAATCCAGCCATGAGACGACTAGGATACAAGTGACCATGCGCAGGGACTCGAGATCCATCTAAGGGCGCAACTGGTGCACAACATGCAAAGGTTTTCCTAGCCGCGAGTACCACCTGCCCTTTGAGCAGAAGTCATAAGTCCAAGAGAACACCCCGCCCCACAAAAGTGACCTACCGGATCTGTCTGGGGTAGTGCAACCCCATCCAGAGTTAATGATGATAATAAACCACCAGAGGTCCCTTGCACCCACAGCCACTCCGTCTTGCTTGGGTTCAGCTGAGAAAGGGCAGTCACAGCGTCGCTTGGATCACCCAGGATGGAGATGTAGAGCTATATATCAGCAGTATATTGAGGATGACTAATCCTATATCTCACCTAGCAGTTTCATGTAGATGTTAGAAAGAAGTGGTGTTGTGGCCAGTCAGCGGCCTGTGCAGCTAGTAGCTGATTCCGACAGTGAGGAGGCTGGTGTGGTGCTGATCCAGCAGCCTGTGCAGCTGGCACTCAAGCTGAACAATGAGCAGGCTGGAGAAGATGTGGTGCCAGAGGTGGGGATTCAGCCAGGGCCTTCATAACCTCCAAAAGCTCCCATAAGTGAAGAGGAAGAAGAGGAGGAGCCTCTTCTCGATGCACGGGCACACAGAGCTGCGAAAAGGCAGGAGTGGCTCCTCAGGAGGAGGTCTCCTCAAGAGTAAGGCTTGGGGCTAATTGGCCACTCCCTTAGCCTATTTAAAGAAGGACGACGACTGAGGCAATTTGCAGGGAACAACTTCGTTCACTCTCCTTCGTGTCCTGATCTTAGTTCTCTGCAAATTGCTTCTGGGCTTTCTGTCAACTATAGTAAGATTACGATTATTTATTCTTTGAATTCTTGTAGGCTGTTAAGAAAGTTAATTAACAGCCTTTGTTTGAAAAAGACTGATTTAATTTAGTAAACTAAGGTTTGTACAGACTTTGTGACTGCTGCGTTCTTTGGGGTCCATAGCTGGGGCAGAACAAGTGGAGAAAGTACCGAGCCCTGTGGTGCCTCACAAAGGAGTGGCCAAGGGCAGGACCTCTAGCTTCTTATTAACACTGATTGGGACCGGCCTTGGAGAAAGGAGCTGAAGCAGTGCAACACTCTGCTGCCCGTCCCCATCCCCCGTCCCCATCCCCAAAGAATGCCATGGTCAATGGTATCGAAAGCCATTGCCAGGTCAAGGAGAGCCAGGATGGATGCATACCTCCATCCTGCTCTCACCAGAGATCATCAAGTGCAACTAATGCCGTTTCCGTCCCATAACCCAGCCTGAAATCCGACTGAAAAGTCCAATGTTGACTCCCAGCAACTCTCTGGCCTACTCCCTGCAGTTTTCTTGGCGGATTTTCTTTCAGAAGTGGCTTGCCCTTGCCTCCTTCCTAGGGCTGAGAGACACTGAGTGTCATTCAGTGGACTCTGTGCCTAAGATGAGACTAGAACTGATGGTCTCCTAATTTCTAGCCTGGTGCATTAACTCTACGCCAAACTGGCTTTTATATACCATTTAGTACATATTTAACCTATGGACTTTGCAGCAAGCACTGATTACCAGTGCTACTAGCAAATAAATAGAGAATAAAATCATCAACAATTATATTCATAATCATATATATTTCAGCATTTCAGATATTCAGATTTCTAATACTTCAGATTTCTCCATTCAACTTGATATTTAACAACATAACTGAGTGCCACACGAAAAATTATTGGACAGCTCTTAGAAAATCAGCACACTGACAAACTGTCCATCCATCTATTGCAAAACCAAACTTGGTAAAGGAAGAATTCCAACCAAACTGTCTGGTGGTGGTTTATACATGTGGGTCTATACAGACTTAAAACTGCTTTTCAATTCTACACACTAAAATGGTCTGAAATATCACACATTTTACTTTTTTTTTTCATGCAACTTTACAACAGGGTTGTGGCAATGTCAAAAGTTGTTAGTTTGGAGAATTCGTGAGATTTCATTCCTGATTTTTAAACAGTGTTTTAAAATTAAATTAATTAGGTGTGTGGCAGATGTCTTGGTGTCATGCAGCACCACGATGGAACTTCCATGAAATAAAGGAAGAAGTTACTCTTGAGGATTCATCATTTACTGTCACTACGCCAGTCTGCCTCCATCCTTCCCCACATCCCCATATTTCTGAATTACCTGTAGAGGCCATAAGAACGAAGCCTCCACATGAGGCCACTGTAGATATTGTGAGGAGGATACCAGTCATAGACTTCCTTGCGCTTTGCCAAGGGCTGCTCACTTAACAGCTTGACGACTTTCATGGATGAAGTATCGGTTGGGCGAACAACTTCTCCAAATATACGCTTACTCAAGCGGGCCATCCGTAAGGCATAGTTGGAAACAGGGCCCGACATCTCCACGTACAAACTGGACAAGTGGACATATGCACTCCTCCTTTGACCAAAAGTGAGAGAAGAAGGCAGGATTAAGACATTCCACGGATTTAATGAAATTGATACAGTCCACCATATGCTTCCTCTTTTTAAAAAAATATAAAAGCCAGGATCATATATCATGTTAAGCCATAATAACCTGCCTTCCATTGAAAGACTATATTATTACTATTATTCTTCTCTTCCTTACTAGTATCTATCTATTCCTACTTTATTACTATAACCATGTTGCTTGTATCTTTCAGTTATATTGTTTTATTTGTTTCTTAGTACGATTTGATAGCTTATTAGTAACCTTGACTATCACTAAGTATTTATCTTTTTATTCTTGATGACTGTATTTTATTCTCCTTATGTACACTGAGAGTATATAAACCAAAGACAAATTCCTTGTGTGTCCAATCACACTTGGCCAATAAAGAATTCTATTCTATTCTATTCTATTCTATTCTATTCTATTCTATTCTATTCTATTCTACTCTACTCTACTCTACTCTACTCTACTCTACTCTACTCTACTCTACTCTACTCTACTCTACTCTACTCTAATACAGCTTGCTGGGTTTTAGGTTTGCATATTTGTGTTCAACAAAATACAATGAAGTGAGCCATGACTTAGTGTGATATTATTTCACATAAGCAGGTATCATGTCATGAGACATGACTCAAAAAATCAATAGTGCTGGGACTGATCAGCGGACAAAGGAGAAGGGGCCACACTACTACCTGCTGGCTGGACAATTAAGTACATTTACAGGTTTATTTTTGGTTTTTTTAACTATTATTTGTGCTATTTCAATACTATTTTGTACTCTATAGCAATAGCACTGACGATTTATATACCACTCCACAGTGCTTTATAGCATTCTCTGAGCAGTTTACAAATGCCAGCATATTGCCCCCAACAATCTGGGTCCTCATTTTACCGAATTTGGAAGGATGGAAGGCTAAGTCAACCTTGAACTCATCAGGATTGAACTCCTGGCTATGGGCAGAATTTGACTGAAATACTCCATTCTAACCACTGTGCCATCACAGCACAACAGAACTCTATAGGCTATTTCTGAGTGCTGCCAACCAGCCTTCCAGTGCTGCCATTCCCTTGTGGCTCTTATTGGTCCTTCCCTCCCTGATCATTTACCTTCCTTATCCTGGTCATGTTACTTGACATGTAAGATCAAACAAACGTGGAAGGACATGAGCTGAAGCAGGACGTAACTCTCCCAATCACTGAAAGAATCTCTTCTCATTGTACATGTGACCTGTCAGACAAGTTTTCTTCCACTTCAGTGCATGTCTCTCCACCATAACATATGACCTGTCAAACATGGATTTAACACTCTGCCATGTTTAAATAACAGGCCAAATATTATTTCATGTTTAAATCAACAGAATAGTATTCTTTCTGAAGAATAGTAGATCCATGCTTTGCAATCGTCTGAATTCATCGGCATCCTATCATAGGCCATTTAAAAAGAGGCCAAACTGCATCACAGAGAGCCAATTAACCCTTATTGAAGCACATGTTAAAGAGAGTGATTGGTGTTTGTTTTTCTCATTAGCCAGTGAAGGTCAGTGCAAGAGAAGAAAGCTGGGGAATCCTCTTTTAACTTGTCCCACATTAAACCTATCAGGATATCACTATTGCCTGGTCACATTTCTGTGGCAGATTGAAATTCAGTCACTGGGACAGTGCAGTTTATGTTTTTTTCTGGGGACTCAAACACAGGAAGAAAGCATATTAACACAGTATTGAGGAAACCATGTTAACACAGTATTGAAGAATAGACCTCAATCACAAATCTTTTTTTTTTTATTTAAGGGCTTTGTGGAGAGACTTCCCACAGCAAGTTGTCAGAAAGAACTATCAGATAAAACATAAAGTACCTGCATAAAGGTGTCTATGTATCAACTAATGAAAACAGTGACATGCCATAAGATCTTCTCCTTTTCTACATGTGCTATATGTTCACATGCACATACAAAAGGACATGGCTTACATCAAGATGAGATGCTGCTTTCATCATTTTGACAAAAAGGTGAGATCCTATGGATGCCTCTGCTGGGGACTTTTGCAAAGATGGAACGGAAGAAAGGAGACTGTGTGTCCTCCAATTGGCATTGTTTCTACACCCTTAAATTGCTGTTATTTCTATACCCTAGGTACTGTTTCTACACCCTTAAATAAATTGCTCTCATGGGGTGGGGGAAGGGATCAAAGTCCTTTCCCCCATTCTTTTTCTCTTTTGGGCAACCATTGGAGCATCTTCTAACTAAGAATGACAACCACCAACTGTAGCGTTTTCCTAAACATTTTTCAGACAGCAAAATTTGAAAACAACAGTGTTGGTTCTACAATAACGGACAGGTATTCCCTGTGCTTTTAAAGCAGTGTTTTTTCAACCCCAGCAAGTTTAAGAGGTGTGCTGACTGGGGAATTCTGGGAATTGAAATCCACACTTCAGATCAACTCCTGCAGCAAAATTTATGAAAGCCTACAGCAGATAGATTGTATTCGTTTCGCTCATCTTCTGCCAACATATCCCAATGCATTAATCTATGATTACAATCTCAGGCTGTTTTCATGTGCTGAGAAAATAAACGCCCATCTAAGCATCTCTTAACAAATCCTATTATATTATAAGCCCCAACTGTTGACAAAGAAAATAGAAAACTGTTCGTCTTCACAAACACACACACACACGATTCCCTTTTAACTAACCCAGACGAAGCACAAGTTGCTTTTAAATTATAAAAAAAAAATTTGGAAAAACAAAATAAAACAATTCGCCTCTTCCACTCACCTTTCAGCCACTTCAAACGTGCGCACCTCCCCACCCGGAGGAAGTGCGCTGCCCTCTAAGCGCTCCGGGTAGGCAGACGGATAAAAAGCCAAACGGGGGAAACATATGAGCGAAGGTACGTCTAATGCGCATGCGGGCTTTCTTTCCCTATGTGGATGCCGCCATCTTGAACAGGCTGGGTGTGACGTTACTGTACGGAATCGGGAGTTTGGGGCGTGATTAGAGTCTAAAAGCGGCCTTTGGAGTAGTAGGTGCTCTTCGCGGAACTGGTGCTGAAATGGGAATATGTAGTGTGGTCCTCCTGTTCAGCGTTAGCTTTATGGCAGCCAAGAGTTTATATTTTATTGCATTTAGAGAGGTTGGTCTAGGATATTTATTTAATTAAATGTATATATTTATCATAGGTATATTTTCAGAGCCAGCCAAAGGAGCTCCCTTGATGTCGTTTGAACAGTCCCGGTCGCCCTGGCCAACTCAGCACATCTCAGCGGGTTGTTCTTGGGCGGGAAAATAGGAGAAGGCGACACTTCAAAGCTGAAGAAGCTTCTTGGATGAGAAGTGAAACGTCTTCAAAGAAAAACCAGAAAGTCCAGTTGCCTCTTGAAAAAGCACCTTTGGGACAACCATGACCTGGATGACTGGGAATCTTCATAGACGTTTAGCAATGCTAGATGCACCACCATGAGCTTTAACAGAAAAATAATAATACTAAAAGTTATAAATAAGAGTCCCCTGGAGTTGGGCAGCCAATAAAATTGAGTAAAATAAATAAATTTAAATAAAATACATAATTAAAATTATTGTCATATAAAATAATAATTATATTATATTATATTATTATATTTATTATATTATATTTATTATATTAAGCATTTTTTAATGTTCAGTTGACTGAGTTTCATGTTTAATAAATAAAGTAAATAATAATTATGATGATGACGACGATTCAATAGGTGGACAAAAATACCAAATCCAGTATAAACATCTGCCTAATTGTACAACAAACCAGGCAGGGGTATAGGTATGTTTGCTACCTTAAGTTATATATTTTAAAAGATAGGATAATAATATTTTTATTCCAACTTTTTTAAATATATAACTTGAAGTGAGAACATACCTAATACTCTTGCCTCCTGTCTTCCTCATAACAACAACAGTCCTGTGAGGGAGGTTGGCTGAAAGACAGAGTGACTGATTCAAAGTCACTCAATCATGTGCAGGATGTGCCAATCAAGTCAGGGCCAACCCTTAGCAACTGCATGGATAGTTTTTCTCCATGACAATCTAAAGGCAAGAGGTGAATCTAGCTGTAAATTAATAAAATGAATAAGGCCCATTGAGTTCAGTGAGGCAAATGGACCTGCCTGGGCAGGATGGCAGCCTTGTATGTTACAATGTTTGTAAAGCTGTGGCTGCTGATGGAATGAAATTAATTGCTTTGAATTCAAGGTGAAGGGCTTCAATAGACCAGGCTGTGCATTTTGTTAATGTCAAGGCTTTTTGTCATTTTAATAGGAAAATCTTTATATATCTATGTCAGAGCAGGGATATGCATTTAGCTGGCTTTGGCTGATCTAAACCAACTTCATTAAGTTTCAAAGAAAGATAAAATGCAAATTAATAAAAATTAAAAAGGAGGGGAACATGGAATCAAAGGAGGGAAAAATTAAAAAGTGGTAAGAAAAGAAAGAAAAAGGAAAAGAAATACAAACAGAATGACTTCCACGTTTCTTTAGTACAGGTACAAATTATAATAAAGTAATTTCTTACTCTAAAGCAAAAATATATAACCAATGTACGAATCAAAAAAAACCCCTAAAACTATATAATGAAATAACGAAATTTAAAGATAAACCTAAAAAATATGACCAGCTGCACATATACTAAAATTGGAACAATAGCATGGCCCCTGCACAAGGATGACATTGGCCAATCTAAAAACTCCCAAATGGAATCTAATCCAATCCAATCCATATTTGGATATAAAGTGACTCAGAGTTTATGTGGATTTGGGTGGCTCCTAAATTGGTTAAATGAATAAATAATAAAAACAGCACCAGAGTTACAGGCTACTTAGGCAATTAAAAAAAATAGCCTTAACAAAGATAATGACAAGCCTTATAGCTGCTAAGAAATCACTGTGGTGTTGTGTCCATGTAGTCATCAGCAATTGAGCTGAACTTCGTAGATACTTTATTTGTATAAACGCTTACACAATATAGACATTCTGCTGAATGTATTGGGGTTCATTGCCTGATAAATAAGTTTCAAGTTTCAAGATTCAGTTCTGTTTACTTGTGTTCATATGACACACAGAATTTTGAAATAATCACATGACCTGGATTTGCACAACATCTTAAGGAAACATTTCTAGACTGTTACAAAGAATGTTCTGTTAATCTAGCCACAGTTTCTGTTTAAAAAGGGCACCAAAAATTAAAGGAAGGATTTATGTGCCTCTGTGGCTCCAGATTGCCCACTCCTCTGCTGTAAAAAATCCTAAACTCCTAGAACTCAAGGCCTATAAATTTCTCGGCAGGTTTAGCCATGCTCCAATATTCAGGGCAATGAGTTTTCAGAATACTCAGCAATTACAGGTAGTTCTTGACTAAAGCCATTCATTTAGTGACACTTCAAATTTACCGACAATTTGACTTACAACCGTCCTTCCACTTATGAACATCACAGCATCCCTATGGTCAAAATTTGGGTGCTTCTTAATGGATATTTCATACCCATGTCATGATGGCTTTTGTGCAATGATATCAATATGTATATGAGCTATGGTAGTGCAGTGGTTAGAGTGCAGTACTGCAGGCTACTTCGGCTGCCTGCTGGCTGCCTGCAATTTGGCAGTTCAAATCTCACCAGGCTCAAGGTTGACTTAGCCTTCCATCCTTCCGAGGAGGGTAAAATGAGGACCCAAATTGTTGAGGCCAATACGCTGACTCTGTAAACCACTTACAGAGGGCTGTAAAGCACTGCAAAGCAGTATATGTCTAAGTGCTATTGCTATAGTATGGTTTCTCCAGGTTGCCTATGGATTATTTGGGTTTATATTATTAAGGTTGCAGTCCTGGAGAGGTAACATGTTTTTAACTTGTCCCATTCCGCTACTATTGAAATTTAATAGAATGGCTTGCCATCAAAATTTAACAGCAGACTTTTAATTAAACAAAAATTCTAATGACTTGCATTTTTGTGTTTGGCTCATTTATTTGTTTGCTTATTTTATTCTTCCACCTTTACGATTTGACTCAGTCTGTCCTTGACCAGAAAATATCCAGTTTTATGCAGAAAATGCCATTGAGGTCAAAGATGACCTTGAATAAACATACATAGAATTGTGTGATGCAATTGAATCTCTAACACAGGTACTTTTTGTCTCTTTTTATAACTTAAAAAAAATAATGAAGAGGAAATCAAGTAGAAGAACATATTATTTCTATTTCCTATTAGTGCTGCCATCTATGACAAAGCAGACTGAAACATAAAATTAATGGAGAAGAAAAGTCATCAATTCCACGATTGATAAAATTCCCCTGAAAAAAAAATTGATTTATGGAAGTTTTATAGAACGACTTGCTTATATCTAACTTTGCTTGTGCATGTGTTTTCCTCTGTTAAAGCATCAATCTGACTGGATTTATACAACTCTAACCCCAAAAGTTTTTGACTTGATATTGTTTGTTGTGGTTTGTAATCTGGGTCTACAGCTTAATCTCTAATGTGAATCCAGGTTAAGTACATTTTATTCTTGAACCATGACCCAACAAATGAAGGCTGCCCATGTTGTATAAAACACTATGTAGTATTCTTAGGTTCGAATCCCTAGTGCCACGTAATGGGGTGAGCTCCTGTTACTTGTCCCAACCTAGTAGTTCGAAAGCATGTAAAAATTGTAAGTAGAAAAATAGGGGCCACCTTTGGTGGGGAGGTAACAGTGTTCTGTGCGCCTTTGGCAATTTAGTCATGCCGGCCACATGACCACGGAGACGACTTCGGACAGCGCTGGCTCTGGCTTTGAAACAGAGATGAGCACCACCCCCTAGAGTCGGGAACGACTAGCACATATGTGCGAGGGGAACCTTTACCTTAGTATTCTTGGGATGCTTCTAGGCTCTAAGTGCTGTGATAACTGAGTGCAGTTGGGCTGGGGAACTTCTTAATCTTTCCTATGACTAAACACTGAAATAGTGGCTGCATGATGCCAAACTGTTTTGAGCACAGTATCTACTGATGTAACAATGTGGGGCATCCAAGGAGAACATGTCAAGGATATTTAGAAGCCAATCTTGGTTTGGCCACTGTATGTGAGTGCACACAAAGATACTGCCATCTCACATTGCATTAAACCAAATTAAATTGAACTTCAAATTATTGACCATACCACTATCGGCTGTAGTTAAGCAGGCCAGGTACAAATGTCTCTTTGCTAAGTACGATATGATGCTGTTACGGTTCTAGCTAAGGATAAATTGTTCCTACTCTGTATTAATTGTTTGATTGGAGCACCACTGGAAGATTGTAAAAGACTGTGAAGCCAGGAAAGAAGTGAGCAGTTTTAGACACCAATGCTAAGGTGTATCATCAGCCATAATTACTCCCAGGTGTCATGGGGATATGTAATGGTTGGGAAGTCAAATAAATAACAAAAAGGAAGACAACTACTTATCTATAGCGTGATTATGTGTTAACAAGATAATGTATATGGAGCTCTTTTTAAAGCCTGCATGTACTTGAAATGCTACGTAAAAACTAAGTATTATTCGGGAACTTGCAAACAAGTAACTAAAATTCTAATTTGTACAGAAATCACACAGGAGAATACCATGAAAAAGAGATTGAACAAGATTCCCCAAATCACAGGTCTACAACCCAGAGCCCCATGGCCACACAAACACCCTTCAAAGCCTTGAGTGCAGCCCATAAGAGACCTTATAACACTACCACATTGTAATGATAATACATTACATACATTGAGTGGTGGTTCAGTGCTAAAATGCTGAGCTTGTCAATCGAAAGGTCGGCAATTCAGCGGTTCGAATCCCTAGTGCCGCGTAACGGGGTAAGTTCCCGTTACTTGTCCCA